ATTTTCGATCAGTTTAGGCTGAGTGAGAAATAGTGTCTATTGTAATTGTGGTCCGGTGATTGTAACGGTGTTTTTTTTTTTTTAATTTACTAATCGGACAGCCACAACATACAGCTCTCATACACCTGATTGTTCGAAATGCAATTTTGCATTATAACTCCTCTACTTAAGCAGCGAAGAACGTAAAATTTCACCCAATTTTAATTAAGCCGAAACAGCATTGAACTTGGATTACTTAGAGGATATTATCAGGAATGCGCAGGTCACCAGTTACAGTCATCAAGGGCGATTTATTCCACAAAACTTTTATTTGTTTATATGTTTTCTTTGATCCTCGTATAGTTTAGGAATCTCCCGAGATCCCTTGGCCGAATACTATTTATTTAGGTCATGTGCTTCTAGGTAGGGGCGGCAGTCATTGAATGGCAATCGATTTGTACCCCGTTTATTTTAATTGAGTCAATGCTTGCTTTTATGCTACTTTCGGTCTCCTAGTTGATATTTCCGGGATAAAGGACTTCCTTTTACCACGCATGTGTAATACTTTCGCATAACAGAGCTCCATGACAGACCGATTAAGGGTCCTGGGCTCATGAATCCGCACGCAGCCTCTATGCCCAGAATTCCACCCAAATGAGGTAAACCCGGTTTCTGAATGCGATGGTTATTAAGAGCTGAAATTGCTTTCAGCAGCCCCCCACCCGCCTGAGCTCGAAAAAGCAAAATTTCGGATAAAATATATTACCTCAAACGAGACATTTGAAAAAAAAAAAAGTTTTTTTTTTAATCTTCAATCGTAACCATTTTTTAAGCTTGCACAAGATTATTTATAGAATAAGATATCGTGCAAAACTCTTCGTCAACGTGAAAAATTAAAACAGTGGGTATCTACATAGATAGTATAAATGTATGTATGTATGTCAAATCGAACTTTCTGATACTACGTTTTGTCTATTTCCGCGGTGAATTTAGAAAATTTCACATTCAACTGTGTAACCAGACATTCGTAGGGGGATAACAGCAAAATGCGTAGAAAAGGCCAGTTTAGTTTAGTTTAGTTACCACTAAAATTACCGATTACCGACAACTCAGTATGATTATAGCGATTCCCACATAAAAGAAAAACGCCACGCCCACTTTTCATATAACGGTATATTTCAGAAATGTTTGAAACTTCGGTAGTTTGAAATTTAAGGACTCTAACTTACTCAAAATTTATACTAATAAGAATCCCTTAAAAGGAAGCAACATTAATGTGGAATTTTGGAAAACGGGCTTGACACTAGCTGAAGTTAGAAATAGTGGTAAAACCACTCTGTAGTTTTCAGGAAGGTGAAAACTTTAGCTTATACTTGCACCGGGTCTTTGATGTTCGGCTCCTCCCGAACTTAAGACTTTTTTACTTGTTACACTTAAGGCTAGGATATGTCAAAAACCTGGCGTCATAGAGCTATTCTGCGGTCAGATTGCGGTTCAGGGCATCAAAATCCTTCGGGAATATATGTT